CCCCCGAGCCCCTCCCGAAGGTGTCTGCCCTGCAGCGGCCCTACCACTGCGAGGTCTGCGGGGAGGACTTCCTGTTCACGCCCACGGACGTGCTGCGGCACCGGGGGCGGCACCTGTGAGCCCGCCTGTCACCCCGCCTATCGCCCCCGCCGGGCACCAGGGCCGGGCCCAGCCCCGCAAGGAGAGGGTAGGAGTGTGTGAGTAAAGTCTCCTACGCGGCCTGGGCCCCGGGAGCCTGCCGCCGCCGCACGCCGGCCTTCCCCGCGGTCCGACTCCCGGCATCCGGGGCGCTGCGGGGCCGATGGGGGCGGGGGGGCCAGCAGGGACTTCAGATCCCAGGCAGAGGACCCTTCCCCCGCCGCTGCTCTCTCCTGAGTCTGTCCTCACGGGCCCTGCTTTTCCTCAGACTAGGGAGACCTGCATTGTCCGTCTGCATGAGTCGCTTCGAGAACTGGGGGGTGGGGGTGGGGGCCCACATCTGACACGGTCCCCGGGGCCGTTCCTGCTGCCGGGTCCTTGGCAGTTCTCACTTGTCCCCTCCGACCCCCCAGCCCGACCCCGCCGCACACATGAGAACCGCGGGGGAAACCCCGTGAACTCTGGATGCTGGCAAATCCCACGGCTCCATTGAAAAAAGAGAAAAGCGAAGGATGCAGGTTCCCAAAGCTGGCTCCAGAAGGGAGAGAGAACTATGTCTGGGCACTAAGGCCCAGACAAGAGCCCACTGCAGTGTCCTGTGTGAACACAGACGCAAAGTCCTCACCAAAAGTTTAGCCAGGCCTATTCCCGGGTCTGTAAAAACGGCAGTAAGTCCATCATGGCCAAGTGGGGTTTGTTCTAGGAACCGTGTTGGTTTAACGTTTGGACTAGTCAGTGGGATTCACCATATTAAAAACAAAGCATATCGGACAAATTTCAACACCCTGGGGCCTCGGGTAAACCCCTCGACCTCTGCTCTACCGTTTTTCTCTCTGACCAATGAACACAGCCCCACTATTTTCAAATGGAACTCTTGGAAAGCCGTCATATTTTTTTCCCCCTGAGTCTGAGAGCAATGCATGGTTGTGTGGGGGCAGGGATCAGAGCCTAAACAGAAGCCACGGCAGGGGTTTTAACCAGGAAGGGGGTTACTACGGGGATGGGGGGCTGACGACAGCCCGGGAGGCTGGAGCGGCGGGCTCCGGGCCGGGCCCTCAGGAGCGACCCCCAGGACGACAGCACAGAACCCTCGGAGGCCAACGCCGGGACCGCTGGGTGCAAGAACGCCCGGCCCCGGCCGGGACCCTGGGGTGTCTTCTGCACCACTCCCGTCTCTGGAGGGGTCCGCCTGCCGGAACCTGCTCCGCGGCCAGAGTCCGGCTGCGGGGGGCGCCGCCTCCAGCCTCCGCCGCCAGAGGTGAGGGGGGTCAGCCGGGCCCACCCGGGGTCCCCCTGCCCTGAGCAACACGGGCGGAAACGGAGAAGGTGCAGAAACGGGATGGAAGGAGAAGAATCCACCGCGATCCGCCTTCCCGGGCGCAGCCTCCAGCGCCTTTCTCTGCGCGTGCGTCTCCAGACTCGTACGCACTGGTCAAGGTCGTGTGGCGCCCTTGGCCGGTGGAGCAGTTCCCAGACACAGATCCTAAGTGTTTCCCCAGCTCGCTACACATTCGTCCGAAAGCGGACTCTTTACAAATGGCGGTGAAACGGCCCAAGTGGAGACACCCCACTTGTAAATACCCGCGTCCTGCTCTTGCGTCTTTGGGCTGCTTCGGTCTCTGTTAATTTTCCAAACAGCGCGACAGCGGACACCTTTGTGTGCATCGAGGGGTCTCCGCTTCTGAATTGCCGTTTTTGAAAAGACTTTCTCCATGATGGGAAATTCGGAGAAGCTGGAAATAGTAAGAAGGGCAAAGAATCCCCCGGAATTCCCCGCACCCGAGAGACTCTGGGCGCCCGTGTGTTTGATGAGCGCCGCACGGACGGCGGCGGGTCCTGTTTGCTTCCGTCCACAAGGCATCTGCACATAAACACGGCCCGGTTACTCCCCGCGCGCCTGTCCCCTCGGTTAGTGGCCGGGCCTGCCCGGGGCCATGACCGGCTTCCTTCCATTCTGGTCTGGTCCCCCCGCCTCTGCACGATGCCTTTCCCCAAACTTCCGGCCGTTTCCTTAGGGCACGTTCCCAAGAGTGCAATTAGTCGGGCAAAAGGTGAGAGCATCTATGAGTGTCTCCTTCATCCCCACCCCGTTTCACCAACCACCACCCCTGCAACCCTCAGTGTGTTCTCTAGAAGAATCTGTTTCTTGGTTCCTCTCTTTTTCTGCCTTTGCTCGTTTATTTTGTTTCTTAAAGTCCACACATGAGTGAGATCATATGGTATTTGTCTTTCTCTGACCGGCTTATTTCACTAAGCATTATACCCTCTAGCTCCAAACATGTCCTTGCAAATGGCAAGATTTCATTCCTTTTTATGGCTGAGTATTATTCCTTTGTATATGGGTGACAGGGATGAAGGAGCACACTTGTCCTGATGAGCACTGGGTGATGTACAGAATGGTGGCATCATTACACTGTATACCCAAAACTAATAAAACACCCGTGGAAAAAAAAAAAGTAACACGTTACACTTAGACGCACACACCCACAGAGCATTTCTGATGAGTCTTTGGCACAGACTGCAAGTTTCCCCTCCTTTTTAACCACCTGCATTTCTGTCCAACTTACAAGGGACACTGCGTGCATTTTGGTACAGTAGCAAACACTCAGTGGGGCCCACTGTGTGCCGGGCACTGTTCTGGGAGATCGTCTTGTATTGACACAGAGCTGGCTCCTCGTTGTGCCTGGCTGCATAGTGGCCCATTACCTGGATGGGCCGAACATTTATTTAACCAGGCCCGTTTGGAGAGACGCTTAAGCGGTTTCAAATCTTTTGCTCCTACGAATATAGCTGGCATGAAAATCCTTACACGTGGATCATTTCCAGATATGTATCTGTAGGATAAATCTCTGGAGGTAGAATCACTGGTCCAAAGGAAGGTACATTTTAATAGGTCATTTGATAGATTAGCCTACCTGTCCTCTGTACAGGCTGTGGTGACTTACATTATTTTTATTTTCCCTGATCGCCAGCAAGCCCAAGCATCTTTGCATATCCTGGGCCATTTGTATTTCCTCTTCTGTTGGCTCAAATCCTAGATTCTTTGTCATTTTGTTATTGGTCTGTAGTAGCTCTTTATATATTCTGGATCTTAAGCATCATAGATGTTATAAACATTTCTCTCAGTTTGCTGCTTGTCTTTTGGCTTTATGGTGACTTCACTCAACATTTTTAAGTTTTTTAGTAGTCAAATCTCTCTCCCGTTATGACCTCTGAAAATGCCTTCCCTGACCCATGGCATTAAAAATAGAGAAATAAATGGCTTATGGGAGAAACTAACCTCAGAGCTTCTCCCACCCACTGTCCAGCCAAGTCTCCTAAGAACATTACGGCTTATCGGACTGTTCCTGCTTTCCCCCCTTTTCAGGTTAAAGCATAAATTAATGTCCCACTGGCACGAAACAGTTCTTTTTATTTGTGTGTGTGCCCATGCACACGGGTAGGGAGGTGCTAAAAACGGAAGCTCTCCAGTATCTGCCAAAAAGACTCAAGCATCCCCTGGGTTCAGGCCCAATAAAACCATGCTAGGGCGTGAGTCTGAAGGAAACTGCCAGAAGAAGGGAGAAAACTCTTAACACACAGATATGGCCACCAGGGCATTCGTCCGAATTGAGAAGTTCATATTACCCGTCAGCCCCCCGGGGAAATAGGTCTGCTCTGAAACGTGCACAAAAACTCCAGGTGGGGCTGTAGTCTGGCCATTCTCACAACTGCATGAAATAAAGCTCCCGGACACCTCCCTTTTCACCCAACAGATTGGCCCAAATTAAAAAGATGGAGGATGCTCCCTGCTGGCGAGGATGTGAGGAGAGGGGCACCTCCAGCCACCCTGAGGGGAATTCGCACTTCAATTTCGCAGCATCTTTCAAGATGCAAAGTGTGTGTGCACTCACTCAACAACCTTGTAAAACTTTCTCTTGAAGCGTAAGGGCCTGGTGCATTTCCCCAGGACACAAAACACGCCTGGCCACCAGCATGCAGACAGAAACAAACCATGGCCAGCCCGGGCCCCCAAGGCGACCAGCACTCTGACCCCTCACACCATCGCCTAGCGTTGCCCGTTCTAGAACCTCATAAGAATGTGCTTTCCCATGCCTGGCTTCTTTTGCTATCCTGTTGCATGGAGCTGTGGTTTATTCATTCTGTTGAATGAATTCATCACACTTTAATCTGTTCTTTTGTTGATGGGCAGTTGGCTGGGTTCCAGCTACAATAATAATGCCGCTATGGACACACAGTCCGTGTGGCTTTGGGTGAACCCATCTGTGCCTTTCTGTGGAGTACGTGCCCAGGGCTGGAGCTGCTGGCTCACGGGACACACAGGGGTTCAGTGTTAGTAGATTCTTTGCAATGGCCTTCCAGAGTCGTTTTACTAATGTATGCCATGCATAAGACCTTTGATTAGCCATGCTAATGATACTGTAATATTTATTGCAATTGTACTTGCATTTCCACGATGCCTAATGATGTCGAGTATCTTTTCATGGGCTTATTAGCCATTTGTTTATCTACTTTTCTTTTTTTTTAAGATTTTATTTATTTGACAGAGACACAGCGAGAGAGGGAACACAAGCAGGGGGAGTGGGAGAGGGAGAAGCAGGCTCCACGCAGAGCAGGAAGCCCGTCGCGGGGCTCGATCCCAGGACTCTGGGATCACGACCCGAGCCAAAGGCAGATGCTTAACGACTGAGCCACCCAGGCGCCCCTGTTTATCTACTTTTCTTAATTTATTTTGACTCTTATAAAGGAGTTGTCTTCCTGATTTGAAAGAGTTCTTTATATTACGTATATAGTTTACAGGGAGCCTGCTGGCTCAGTTGGTAGAGCATGTAGTTCTTGATCTTGGGGTCGGGAGTTCGAGCCCCAGGTTGGGTGTAGAGTTTACGTAATAATAAATTTTTAAAAAATATATATACGGTTGAGGGGCGCCTGGGTGGCTCAGTCGTTAAGCATCTGCCTTCGGCTCGGGTCATGATCCCAGGGTCCTGGGATCGAGCCCCGCATCGGGTTCTCTGCTGGGCAGGAAGCCTGCTTCTCCCTCTCCCACTCTCCCTGCTTGTGTTCCCTCTCTTGCTGTGTCTCTGTCAAAAAATAAAATCTTTAAAAAATATATATATATATACAGTTTATATATTTATATAATATATATAGTCCTTTATATATATGTGTATGTATATATATATATATATACACATATATATAAATTTGTCATGTGTGTAGTGAGTATTTCCCCCAAGTCAATGCTTGATTTTTTAATTTCTTTCACCCTATGACCTCATTTTAACTGGCTCATCTGCCAAGATCCTATCACCAAATAAAGTCACATTCATAGGTCCTGGAATTAGGACTTCAGTATATCTTTTTGCGGGACACAACCCAACTCCTATCATCCCCCTCCCCCGTAATCCACCCTCTGCATGGCTGCTCAGCACAAAGCACACAGAAGACTCTGTCCTTTCTCTGCTCAAAATCCTTCCAAGACAATGGAATAATATCCCTCCATAAAAAGGAACGAAGCATCGAAACACACTACAACATGAAGGAACCTTGAAAATTCTATGCTGAGTGAAAGAAACCAGACACAAAAGACCATATAGTGGGGGTGCGCTTCAGCTCAGGCCCTGATCTCAGAGTTGTGAGGTCACTCTGCATGGGGATCAGCACTCAGCATGGAGTCGGCTTGCAACTCTCTCCCTCTGCCCCTTCCCTCTTTCTAAAATAAATAAATCTTAAAAAAAAAAACAACAAACCATATAGTGTATGATTTCATTTCTATGAAGTGCCCAGAGCAGGCAAATCCATAGACCCAGAAAGTGGATCATAGCTGCCCGAGGTTGGGAGTTGGGGTGGCGGGGGAGTGGCTGTTGAGGGGTAGAAGGTTTCTTTCTTGGGGTAATGAAAATGTTCTACAGTTGATTATAGTGATGGCAGCACAACTCTGAATAGACTAGAGCCATCGAACTGCACCCTTTAAATGGGAGGGTTTTAAGGTTGTGAATTACATCTCAATACAGCGGTTACAAACAAAACCGCCTTGCATGGCTCCCCAGCGCCCTCTGGAGGGAGCCCGGGCTCACTGCCTGCCCCACATTCACCGGCACCCGAGCTGAAATGACCCAGAGTCTCGCTGTCCTGGAAACAGAGCTCCCAAGAGCCTACAAAGCTACACGCAGAGAGACACCGCCGTGGACTCGTTCAAGGAGGCCCCCAGTTATAAAGATGACCCGCTTTGCCACACAATCCCCCCCAGACTCAGGTAGCGACGGCCAGAATCTCATAGTCGCAAACACACGAGCTGGACGGAGGCACGACGTGACACGCAGCCGGGGACCCGGGCATTTGTCGGGGTCACGCGGGCGCTGGGCGGGGACAAGCTCAGCCGCGAAAACGCTCCGCGCCGACCGCCCCCCGCCCCAGCCCACCAGGCCCCGCCACCCGGCCCCGCAGACCCGGAGGGGTCCCCACCTCCCAGGGCCCGAACCCGCGGCGGCCGCTGCTTCCTCAGCCCAGGAAACGGGGGAGGTATTTTTAGTTACAATTAACCTCCCGCCCAATTTCCCTCCTCCCCGGTGGCACATCCAATTGGTTTAATTAGAGAGGATTCAGCGAGAGGCATTTACGGTCACCGAGCAGGTGGAGGGGGAAGCGGGAGGGGAGCTGCCTCTCCCCCACTCGCCCGTGTCCCGGGTTCCCCCATCCTCCCAACAGGCAGCGCCTTCAGGAATGCGCCGGCCTACCCCTCTCAACCCCCCGCAGCCGACCTCGGCCCGGCCCCGCCCCCTCCCCAGGGCCCTCCCCGACCTGCGCTCAAAGGAGGGCCGGGAAGTCCTTCCTGCTCTCTATCACTCATCCATGCCACTTCAGTCCTGCGGAGTTCGGCGGGAAATAAACACGAATCCTCGTCACCAAAATCATAGCTAACACAGAGAATAATAGTTCATGTTAGGCCCTTTCAAAATCAGACTCTTAGAATTCTATTTTTTTAAATAAAAGGGCGCGCGGGCGGAGTGCTTAGCACGCGGGCTTCAGAGGTGCCAGGCTGCCGGTTTGAATGGAGATCCAAACTCTCCAGCTGTGTGGCCCTGGGTGGGCTCAAGTTCACCTCTCTGGCCCTCGGTTTCCTCATCTGGGAAATGGGGACAGCCATCGCACTTCCTTAGTGGTAAGGGCGTACCAGGTGGGTAGGTACGGAGCTCCTAGAACGCAGCAGGTAACTCCCACCCCCACGCCGCTCTATTATTTACAACCTCCTGTCACCTCGCAGTATAAACCATGTGCTCGTTTGCTCAGCCCTTTGTGGGGGTCCCCCACACTAGGACGCCAGCTCCTGAGGACAGGGGTCTTCGCCTTGCTCACGGATGAGCCCGGAGAGCAGAGTGCGGACCCTGGAGACACCTGTGGCCTGAGTGAATGAGGCTCAGCTGCCCCGTTTCCTCTGCCCTCCACCTGTTGTCCCCTGGGCACCTGCTGCGCGCCGCGTGCTGGCAGGGCTGAGGTTCAAGCCAATAAGGAAACAGGCGAATTAGTGACAGAGAGAATTCCAGGGAGGGGACGTTAGGAGGAAAAGGGATGGGGCAATAAAGGAGCGGCAGACAGAAGAGGGGTGCTTTGATTGGGCTGCTCCTGCATCTTTGCCGAGGGGATTCTGAGCTGGGGAAGGTGATCCAGGGCAAAGGGAGCGGCCAGGACGGAGGCGCAGAAGGAAGACTGAGCTATTTGCCACAAACAAGGGTCCAAACCCAAGCAACTTACAGTTTGCACTGAGCTCCACGGCGTCTTGGGAACAAAACAGCAGAATCGGCAGACCCTGGAGTTGGCAGCAGCTGAGGCTCCCACGAGGGAGGTTAGATCCACGTGCACTTCGTTGGGGAGGGTAAAGGCCTCTGTGGGTCACAGGCCTAACAGGGCCTCAGTTTCCGTGTTTGCATTATGAGGGTCCAGAGGCTGCTGTATCTTAGAAGGTGTGTATGTGAGGGGTGCCTAGGTGGCGCGGTCGGTGGAGCCTCAGACTCTTGATTTGGCTCAGGTCAGGATCTCAGGGTCGTCCGATCCAGCACCCAGAGTCGGTGCAGAGTCGGCTTATGCCTCTCCCTCTCCCTCTGCCCCGCCCCTGCCCCTCCCCTAACCCCACCCTCACGCGCATGCTCTCTTTCTCTCTATAATAAAATCTTAAAAAAACGAAGATGAGTAGGTCAGTGAATGGTGTTTGGAGGTGGGCTCTGAGGGTCTCATGCGTCCAAGCGCGGGTCTGCTCAGTCCAAGTGAGGATCATGGAGCTGGTAGGGAGCAAAGCGGGGATTTGAACCCCGGGCATGTTGGGCTGGAGTCTGGGTTCATGACCTCTCTGCTGGGCAGTCTGCTGGTCTGTTGGCCACACATGAATGTTTCCAAGGACAGCCCTGGGTAACAGTGTTTGTGTCCCTTGGGACTGCGAGCCGCAGTGTGGGAGATTAATGCAAAAGTAGCCATTTTTCTTCATCCCTCCCCGTGTCCCCATCTCTTGTGCTGTGAGTTTGCAGCCCCCCATCCCCAGCCTGTAAGGGGTGGAGTCTATGTCTCCTCCCTTGAATCTGGGCTGGCCTTGAGATTTGTGGCCAAGATAATGCAGCTGAGATAACCAGGTCAGACCTGAGCTGGGGCCTCAAGAGGCCACAGATACACAGCAGAACCCTGTTGAAGTTACAAGAACTGCCCAGCAGAGCCTAGTAGATTAGCCCATAGAATTTTAGCCCATAGAATTATTAGCGCTAGTATTTTAGCCCATAGAATAATGAGCTAAAAAATAGTTGGCATTTGAACCACAAAGCTTTGGAGTGACTTGTTACACAGCAATAGCTAATTGATATAGAGTGCCTGAGGACAGTGAGGATTAAGAGTACCAATTATTGGGACGGCTGGGTGGCTCAGTTGGTAAAGCGGCCGCCTTCAGCTCAGGTCATGATCCCTGGGTCCTGAGATCGAATCCCGCATCAGGCTCCCTGCTCAGCAGGAAGGCTGCTTCTCCCTCTGCCCATTTCCCCTGCTTGTGCTCTTGCTCTCTGTTTCTCTCTCTCTCTGACAAATAAGCAAAATCTTTAAAAAAAAAAAGAGTATCAATTATTATTATAATTGGTGATTCATGAGCTTCAAATTGATGAGAATTTGAATCTCGAAAGAGACACAAGAACTCAGATTGGTGCCTTTTTGTTTTTAAGACTTTATCATTAAAAAAAAAAAGGTAGAAGACTTCCATGAAGGGAGGTAGGGGAGAGAAGGGGTGGGGAGTGGGCTGGGAGGACAAGGGGACCTCTTCCAAATGTCGGATCCGGCTGACCCTCCTTCCCTGACCTCCCCAGCCCACCGCCAGTCCCTTCTCTGGCCTGGAGGCGGGGGACCCCCAGCCACCATCTTCTGAAGACCCAGGCCCGGGATCTCAGCTTGGGTTCCAGGCAGAGGTGAGGGCAGAAGCGGGGCGCAGGGTATGGGGGCCTTGTCTTTGTCCTTGAGAGACCCTTGAGCGGGCGCTCAGGCCCCATGTCCCAGTGGGGCCCCAGGGAGGTAGGCATTGCATTGGGGGCCTTAGGAGGTGGGGTCCTGAAGTCAGGGGGCCAGGTGGGGACCAGAACCAGGTGTGAGCCTGGTGGTCACAGTCCAGAGGCTGGGGTCTGTGGAGAGGGGACGAGAGGCCACGTCAGGAAGTGGAGAGGGGTCTGGCCCCACATCAGCCCCATAGTGAGAGGAATGCAGAGGGAGGGAGGGAAGCAGAATAGAAACAGAGGTGGCAGAGAGAGAGATGAGGTCCTCTGACACTCAGACCAGGCCACACCTGTCCTCGGTTGGTCAGGCCAGAGCTGAGACCCCCACCGACCTGCCAGGCTCCGGACAAACATGTCCATCTCTCCTTCCCAGGCTCCATGCCTAAGCCCTCCTAGGTCTCCACTCCCATCTCCCGGCCTTTCTGTTGGCCCCAAGTTCATTACTCACCCACCCATCCTGCTGGCGCCAGCCCAGCCCAGTCCTCCTTCCCCCTCATTGGTGTGTAGGCAGTGGTGATGGGGGCGGGCTGCTGTCTCATAGCCATGAGTCTGCTAAGTGCACTGGGCCTTTGCATATGCTATTTCCCTCCTTTCCTGCCTCACTCCTTCCATTCTCCTGGTCTCAGCTCCCAAGTTCCCTCTTCCAGGAAGTCTTCCCTGAATGCCCCCAGCCTGGGTCTGATGCCCCCTCTGGGCTCCTCCAGTTCCTGGGTTCCCTCATCCCAGCCCTGCTCACTTTGGGTCATCACTGTCTGAAGACAGGTCTGTCTCCCCTGCTGGACAGTGGGCCCCGTGAGGGCAAGGCTGGGCTGTCATGGTCACTGCTATGTCCCAAGTACCAGCCAGCACAGGGCCAGGCACAGAAGTGCTCAGGGAATGTGCATTAAATGAATGAAGGAATGAAGAGGTGCTAAACTAAAGAGTCTGGACTGCATCTAGAGGGCACTAGGAAGGCACAGAAGAGTTTTAATCCAGAGAGAGTCAAGATCTGATTTGTGTTGTAGAATTTCCAGGCAGCCTCTCAACGCTGGGTCTTTGCACATGCTATTCCTTCTGCTTTTCTGAGCTGAGTGAACCTGCACAAGTGAACTCTTCTTTTTGAGCATCAATTTTCTCAACTGTAACATGAAAATAATATTTTCTCCCTCTTGGGGTTTTTATTAAGACTAAGTGAGAAGATGCTCTAAAGCCTTAAGACATGGGAGAGTAAAAGAATGTACCCTACTCCTTTGCCCCCCACTTCTACCCAGTGAACTCCTATTCATCCTTCAGTGTCCTACCCCGAAGTCACTTCCTCTATGAAGTCTTTCCTGATATCTCAGAGATAGGTGATGTCTCTCTCCTCTGAGCAAGCTGTGTTTTATTGTTTCAGCTGTTGCTCTGTCATTCTTTCCTGATGTCCACTTCCTCAAAAGCCCAAATCTTCTCAAGAGCAGGACCCTATGTGAGGCTGCTCAATATGCTGGAGATGTATGAATGGGTAGGTGTGTGGATGAATGGGTTTGTAGGTGGGTGGGTGAATGTATGGAGGTGGACATATGAGTGGGCTGATGTATTTTCTGATGGATGACAGGTAGTAAATGCATGCATGGATGGATCATGGGTAGGTAGGTAGGTGAGTGAATGTGTGGATAAGTGGGTGGATGTGTGGGTGGGTGGATCAGGGTGGAGGTGGATGGATGAATGGGTAGGTGGGTGGATAGATGAATGGATAGTGAGTGGACATTTGTCTGGATGGATAGTAGGTAGGTTGATGATTGATGGATGGATAAATATATAGACAGATGAATGAGCAGATGGATGGATGGATGAATCATCTCCCCAGTAAGCCTTGGAGAACCCTCAGTTCAGGGACCCATGCTGACCCTGCTCTGGGTGAGCCCAATATTGGAATCTGGAGGTCTTACCAAGGTTTGAGAGCCACACAACCCCAACCCAGAACCCCTAGACATTGGACACTCACACTTGTCCTGAATCTATAGATAATGCCACTCTCCTTCTAAGTTCAAACTCATTCCCATCGACCCTGAAAGACAAAAGAGGAAGATTGTGAGTCTTCACCAGACATCCCCATATGCCCCTAAATCTCTCCCACCTGCTCCTTCCCCAGGGGATCCCTCTATCAGGACAGACTGAGTCATCATTTAAGAAAGTACTAGTCCTGGGATGCCCGGGTGGCTCAGTCGGTTGAGCCTCTGATTCTTGGTTTCAGCTCAGGTCCTGATCTCAGGGTGCTGAGACTGAGCCCCGCGTTGTGCTCTACGCTCAGCACAGGGTCTGTTTGTCCCTCTCCCTCTGCTGCTCCACCCCTACCCCACCTCCACCCAGCTCGTGTGTGTGTGTGTGTGTGTGTGTGTGTGTGTGTTGCGTTCTCTCTCAAATAAAATAAATAAGTAAATAAAATCTTAAAAAAAAAAGGTACTACTCCTTTAAGGAAAAGTAGAACCTTCCAATGTATGGGCAGGGCCTGGAAAGAAGCACCAGGAAATCTGCAATTGCCTCTCCCGCTCCGCTGTTATGCAAATGAAGTACTGCATTATTCATAAACTTAATCCCAGAAGGTGGGACATCTCCATTAAGAGGAGGGGCCTGGTGTGTTGGGGGCATGGCTTAGTTAAGGGGCGGGGACTTACCTGGAGGTCTGACAGTCATGTGCGGCTGAGCTTCCGAGTAGCCCCCCATTGGCTGGCCCTCTGGGCTGAAGACTGCACTCTGACCTGGGAGGGAGGTTGAGGGGTGCAGGCTGAGCCCCAGGATATGCGGGTCCCAGCTTTGATACTCCCCAGGGAACATTAGGCCCTCTCTCCCCACCTTCTCCCCGTACCTGTGCGGTTGGATTGATCGATCATTGGTTGCACGATGCGTCTCCGGGCGTTAATGAACCTGGGAGGGGGTTATGGAAACCGAGCAGGGTGTAAAGAGGGAGTAGGAGAGAGGCAGAAATGAACACACGGAGACAGCTGGAAAGAGAGGACGGGGATGGGGAGGGGAGAGGAGAGGCTCCCCGGGGCTGTGGTGCCTCCTTCAGCACCGCGGACAGCGCCCGGCCTCCCACCCCGGGCTGGCCCACGGACCCGCACAAACCTCCTGGGTCACTCACCAGTTGTTGACTTGCAAGATGGTGAGCCCTGTGTCCTGCGCCAGCTGTTTCTTCTGCTCCTCCGAGGGGTATGGGTGCTGTGGCCACCAGCAAGAGTCACCCTGCCTGCCCAGCAGCCATCTGGTCCCCAAGGCCTGGCCCCATGAGGATGGTGAGCCCAGGCTGGGGCAGGGCCGGGACAGCCAGCTCTTCGGAGCTGCTCTAGGCTCCCCCAGAGCCCAGTGGAGGGAAGCGGAGCCAAGCTTCGGGCAATTATGCCTGTGGGCGCCCCCGCCTCTTCCAGCCATTAGAGGCTAATTGGCCAGCTCTCATTAGGGAGACCGAAGCTCGGGGTGGGGGCTCCAACACCAGAAAGGAGGCAAAGCCCAGCATGGGGCCCTGTCTGAGTCTCTGTCAGGGTCCTGGTGCATGTCTCTCTCTGTCCCGGTCTCTGTCCCTCTGTGACTCAGTCTCTCCCTGACTCTCTTCCTGTATTTTCCCGGCTCCCTCCACGAGGCAGCATGCTGCACTGGATAAGGCCAAACTGCCTGCATCTGAACACACTTCTGGCTAGGAGACCTCTGGGCTCCTCACCTGCAAAATGGAGCTCCTCACAGCCCCATCCTCATAGGCTCTGTTTGGTGATGATTGTTGAGGGGGCGGGATGGGAATGGGTGGTGGGTTGGGGGCAGGACTGAGTGAGTTCAGAGCCCTAGCGGCACCTGGCACGCAGCTAGCGCTCACGGATGCTTGCTCTTGTTAACCGCCTCTCCTTGAGATTCGCCCTCAGTATCTCCCCCATGCCTCAGTCTCCCATCACTGGGTCTCTCTCACGGCCTCAGTCTCTGTGTGACCATCCTTCTCCTTCTCTATGCCTACCCTGCACCCGGGCTCCAGGGCTCTCACCGAGAGGTGCTGGAACAGCCAGGCTCTCATGATATTGGTAGCCACCTTGGGGAAGATCCCCCTCTTCTTATTCCGCCGTCGCTCCTGGTCCAGCTCCTCGTCCTCTCCCCCGGAACTGGGAGAGGCCACGCTTGTGTCTAGTCCGTCTCCTGAGGGAGGACAGGCATGCTGTGCTTGTGGGCAGTGAGCGGGGGGACCAGAGGGACCCAGAACCCTCACTCAAGAGACTGCTCCACACCTCTGTCATCCTTGCACCTCTGGAAGTCCTACTTGCTGTCTAACTTCAATTCTCAGACCAACTCCCACATTTCCCCTCCACCTCCCAGGCGTCTTACCTTGGTCACTGGAGTTGTCCCCACTCTGGGAGGCTAGGCCCCCACTGGATGGACCCGGGGTCCCCAAATGTACAGACCCGCTGTCCTCATGGTCTCTAATCCATGTATTATTCTGGAAAACAAGAGCTAGAAGTCAGTGCCAAGGCTTGGGTGCTCTATAGCGTAGTGGCGGAGACCATGGGCTCTGGAGCTGGGACACCTGAGTGTAAAGCCTGTCCCTGCCACTTTCCTGGCTGTGTGACCTTGGGCAAGTTGCTTCAATTCTCTGTGCCTTCGTTTCCTCAACTGGAAAACAGGACAACTCTCCCTACCTCACAGAGCGTGGAAAGGACTCAGTGAGTTCATTCACATAAAGACACATAGCAATCGCCCCATAAAAATGAGCTTATACAGATCCATGACAGCTTATCTGAAATCCTTGGGGACCAGCAGTGTTTCAGAATTCAGAACTTTCCACATTTTTTTTAAATTTATTTTTAAAAGTAATCTCCAACTCACGACCCCAAGATCAAGAGTTGCACGCTCTACCGCCTGAGCCAGCCGGGCGCCCCTAGAACTCTTCGCATGTGTAGACAGTAAATTCGTGCACACACTGTGTATTTCATAACACCCCCAGCAGGGTCTGGGGCTTAACCTCCTCATCAAACTCATTAACATTTCTGCAGCAAGATGGATGAATATTTAACTAAGTGGAATAAATAAAGTCTATAAATAGCCTCTCATTAGTTCAGGTCAGACTTTGCTGCCAAATGAGTTTGCACTAAACTTACGGGGGATAAAAAACAACTTTCAGTTTTCAGCGACAGGGAGGGAGGTGTCTCTGAATTGCAGATCGGGGGAGTTCAGGCTGTGCTTTCTTTATGCAGACTCCGACACACTTTGAAGAACTGGACAATGCATTGGATCTGCCCTCGGCCCCAGTTCCGTGTCCTGGAGGCTGACCTACCTGTACACACTTCATCAACGCCCTTTGTCATTCAGTTTCAGGTTCAGCTCAATTGTTGGGAGGCAGACTGGGTGGGTTCAGCTCTTGTTGAACCCCAGGGTGCCCCACCTGCCCTATTGATTACCCTCAACCCTGCCTGTTGCTTTGTAAGCAGCCCTCCCCACCCCCCCAACATGGCCCATTGCGGGTGCATCATCTATCCTGCAGGGGCCGGGCTGGAGATGCCACAGCTGAGAAGGTTTCTCCAGGTGTGGTATGTCTGTGTGGAATTGTGTGTTTGATTGCATGATGGACGGGCGAGCGAACTGCGGAACCATCAGTCCGAAGGCTTTTGAGCTTGGCTGCAAGGGTCGCCTCCGGCTCTTCTAGCGCTGGCTCTGATGGGACGCTGTGGGTGAGCGTCCACAGCAGTGTGCCCAAAGCTGTCTTGGGATTGTTGTGTGGCAAGTGTCAGTGTGCCCATGCCTGTGTCCCTCTCTGAGATGGCCAGGTGGCTGTATGTGACCATCACGAGGCCACAGTGTTCTAAGTTTGTGTCTGGTGTTCCAGGGCTGGGTTGTCTTCTTTGTGAGACGGTGTGTGTGGTTACCACGCCGGTGGCTTTGTGTCTACACTGGGCTGGAGGATTGCCATGGTGTGTATCGGAGGCTGCCTGAAAATGCGGAATACGGCGATGCCTCTGAGTGGGGCTCTTGCTGCGCATGTGCAGATTGTGCGCTGTGGGGCCGAGGGTCCCCGAGGCCCGTCTGCGACTGCTGTGCGCAGTCGACCCGAGTCTGTGTCGGGGTACGGCCATGTGCCTGTATCTGGGGCAGGGGTGGCCCGGGTCAGGCTCCGCGCGGCTGTTATGGGGCTGCCAACAAAACGAGTCCATCTGCACCTGGGGCTAGGGGCTGTCACGCGGTGAGGGTGGCTCACGTCTGAGTGAGCACAGGCCCTGTGCTCGTGCAGCTCTGGGTCTAAGTGCGGCGCTGTCCAAGTCTGTGCGGCAGGATCTGGGCCGTTTGGCTCCGTCTCCACCGGTGTGACTGTTGTGTGGCTGGGCGTGCTCTAGAAGTGCGGGTCTCGGTCAGGCTGTGCGACGCATGACGCTGCTCTGCGGCTGGGATGTGTGTGCTTGAGTAGGGGGTATACGCTCTCATCCGGCTGCGAGGGAGAACGGCTGTAACTGAGCGTGCGTGGCTGTGTCTGAGGCTCTGTGCGTGCGGCTGCGCCTACGTGTGTGCGTGTGTGCGCATGCGCTGCCATCCAGCTGAGTCCCGGTCTGCGCAGCTGTTGCGTCGTTGGCGCATGCCCAGTGGTCAGGCGTGTCTGGCTGAGGCTGCGGGGTGTGTGTGCGCGCCCTCACGCTGCAGCCCGGCCGTGTCTGCTCGCGGATTTGGTTGCGGGGTGATGCCTGGTGCCCCTTCCCCGGCCCACCTGATCCGGGAGGCTGGGGCAGGAGGCCGGGTAGTCCTCGAGGTCCTCCCTGCAGCCGCCATCCCGATCCTCGATGACCAGGTCGATGGGCATCTTTCCCTTGAGGCAGGTGATGTAGCGGTGACAGAAGTTGTCGCACAGGTCGTGGACCTGAGGGGGCACCGGGGTACTGGGGGGGCCACCCGGGGGCCAGGGCTGGGGTGTACAGGGATGGGGGCAGCATTCTGCTCCAACTCCAGTGGGCAGAGGGCCTGAAGGAGGAGTGGAAGTGGGGAGAAGGGTAGGGGTGGAGGGCAAGCAAGGGTGTGAGGGGAAGTGAGAAGCACTCACCTTCTCCAGCTCCAGCAGGTGGAAGCGGAGCACCTGAATGGCCTGTATCATCTGAAAATGGAGACAGGAAGAGACAGAGCAGGGGAGAGAGGGAGGGATGGAGGGAGAGGAGGAGGGAGGGAAAGAGAGGGAAAGAGGGAGAAAGAGGGAGAAGGACAAGAGGAGGAGGAGGAAGAGAAAGGAGAAAAAAGGAGAGAGAGGAACAGAAAGAGTGAGATAGAATGGCAAAGACAGAGGACAGGCAGAGAGGGACAGAACCACAGGGGCAGAGAGCAACAGGGAACAGACACAGAGACCCAGAATTAAGGGAAGATGGAATGTCAGAGAGTCAGAGACAGAGAAAGAGAAGCAAGAGGTGGAAGAGACACGAAAGGATCCATCGCAAGAGGAGTGAATGAAGGCCTGCTATAATAAAAATATTCCATCCTTTGCCTGCTTGCCCCTTGCTCCATTTCCCACCCTCTGACTGTAAACTACATTTCCCAGAGTCCTTTGTCAAAAGGGTCAGCCAATAGGAAGCCCTGGTGGGAGCTGGAAAACAAAAATAAGGGAGAAGCCAGGGTATTTCTCCTTCCCTCTCCCTCTCCTCTCTCCTTTGCGCTTTGTCCCTGCACTCATCTTGGCATGGGCTCTGTTGTCCTGGCTGATAGAACAGCTAGCGTCTACTGAGTCCCTGTTCTGTGCCAGGCATTGTTCTAAGTGCTTGACTCTTGTTAGCTCATTATATCCTCACAATAGCCCTATGAGATAGGAATTGTTCCTAGCTACAGATGAAGAAACCGAGGCACAGGGAGATTCAGCTACTTGTCCTGGTTCACAGAACTAGTGAGTGGCAGAGCTTGGATTTGAACTCAGGCCATCAGTCCCCATTCTCAAACTCTAGGCTATACTCATTGCAAATGGGCCACAATCATCACTGTTTGATCAAGTGGGTCAGGTGATCTCTTCTCTGCTCCCACAACCAACCCCAGGGCTATGGAGGGTGGGACAGGAGACCCCTGCGGAGGAAGGAGCACTGGGGAGGGCGCAGGTCTCACCAGATTGTCCAGCTCCGGGTTGGAGGAGAAGAGGGGCCTCTCAGAGCGGACCTGGGAGGAAGAGAGAGACCAGGGAGGGGGTGCCCTGTCTTCAGCCCACCCCTCCTCTCTGGCTGTCCTGGCACACAGCAGATGGGGGTGCCCACCTGCTTGGCAAAGGCAGCGATGTCCTCGTTGAAGGAATCAGAGGAGCATACATCACCACCTGGAGGTGTGCCCAGCCCAGCCCCGGCCCCATCCCGGGGCGAGCACGTGGCCAATTCACATTTCTCAAAGACCAGGGCCAGCAGTGGGAAGAGCGGGTGTCTGGGGGAAGCAGGAGAGAAGGTTCATGAGGGAAAGCAGGGGACATGTGGAGTATGGAGCACCTGGGAGAGGGACAGAAGACCCAAGGGAAGAGATGGAGAGATGAAGACAGAGCAAGCGTGTCAGAGAGACAGAGAAAGGGGCCCAAATCCCAAGACCCCATGGAACCTTCAGTCCTGTCCCCACTCACCCGTAGATCTCATCCTTCTCCCTCCTCAGGCCATCACTGTCCAAGCCCGGGGGCTGGGGCTGGGGAGGCTGGTGGGGGCCATAGGGCCCGGGGGCTCTCGGTGTCGAGGGCACTGCCTCCGAGAAGCCAGCCAGGGCTGCGGTGCTGTCCACGATGCCTGGGTAGTGGGGCAGCTCATCATACTGGGGGGAGGCAAGAGGGGGAGAGCCCCAGGGAGGCATCAGGAAACCTCCCTACCCTGGCATCCAGGAGATGCCCCTCCCTGCCCCCCAGAACCAGCCCTTTCGTTCCCCGTGTCTGAACCCTGCCACCTTTAGACCGCGGACGTCCCATGGAGCTCTCTGGGTGGGTCTGAAAGCCCTGTCCCCGGTCTTCTCTTATACCCCTGGCCTGTGAAAAATGTTCCATCAGAGATTCTTGATGTGTGGGCAGAAGGGTCCAGAGGAGACAGACTGACCCAGGTCTCAAGTCTGAGGATCAAGGTGGGGGTCAAGGATCAGCTGATGGTAACTCCCAACTCCTCCCAGAGTGAGGAGGGGAGGGGGAGAGGGGAGAGAGCCATGGAGAGATTCAGATAGAGACTAGGAGCAAGATGCAAGAGAGAGACAGAGGGTAGGAAAGAGAGGGATGGAGAAGAGAAGATACAGGAGCGAGAGAGAGAGAGAGAGAGAGAGAGAGATGCTCACTCATGGACACTTCCCACAAAAGCAGCGCATCATTTATGCATAAATGTAAGTTTACACTGTCACCCCCCCTTCAATTTCATCCCACAGTTGTCAAATATGTCCATCTGACTGTACATATTTAACTTGTTACACCCCACTCACCATGTGAATCCACCCCTCCACACACACATACACACACACACAGAGCCAAACACCAGACACAGCAATGAAGGAATGAGTCGTTGAATGAATGAATGAGGCATTTAGCGCATGTGTGAATGAATGAATGAATGAGGCAGGTAGCACAGCGCCTGGCACACATTCCATAAACACTTGTTGAACCGAAGTGGAACCCCGCACAACCGCACAACCCACTTGTGTGATCAGCCCCAAAGCGAACCACTGTCATCACAAAAGCATGCACACTGGGGAGGCCAGAGGGGCCTTAAACCACCCAGGCTAAACCCTCTCCTTGGGCTTGAGGAAACAGGCTCAAAGAAGCCAAGAGACTCAAACAGAAGGATGCAGGCATTCCCGCCATGGGTCGCTGGCCCCTGCCCCTGACGGGTGTGCGCCGATGGCTCTGTGTGTGTATGTCCCTCTCTCCGTCTCTTTCTCTTCCTCCTCTCCTAACTTCTCCCGAGCCCCGAAGTTGAATCCAACTGTTCCCTGCGAGGATGTGCAATGGGGTCCTCACAGCCTGCCATGTTCCCACACCCCTGCACCCGCAAAGGTGCATACTCACCTCCTCGCCTGAACTCTGATCTCCCCATCCCCAGGACCATAGAAGAGAGAATCCCTCGGCCCAGCCTGGTGAGACCCTCCCTCCCCTCCCAGTACTGTCCCCACCCCTAACCCTCAGGAGGACTTGGAACAAAAGTAGACCGGGGAGGAGGGCTGGGGAGGGCAGAAGAGGAAGGAGGGGGTAGGAGAAAGGACCTGAGATGGAGCAGGAGACCCAGGGGTGGAGGGAGGGGGAGACCCGGAGCAGAGACAGGGGAGACCCGGGGATAGAGAGAGGAGGAGACCCAGGGGTGGAGAGAGGGGGAGACCCGGAGCAGAGACA